CGGTTTTGCCACTTTAATGGCCCAGACGATGCCGGGAACATCGACAACAGTTCCGGGACACTCCATCATTCCCACGACCCCCGCAAACCGACAAAACCATCCGGCACGACACGACGGCGGAAGGACAACGTCTCATGCCACATCTCAGCCTCGTGATCGAATGTCACAACCGCCTCCGGAACAAAATACACGACGCACTGACGCCGGGCGTAATCATCCCATACTTCCCCAAGAGGAAACTGCTGAGAGTCAGTCGGGTCATTTACGACGGACACCGCCTCGCGAGCAGCACCTGCATCCTTCCAATCCGGCGCAAACCGACCTTCGACAGCATATTGAACGGAATCGAGCTCGCCAAGAGTCGTCCGAACTCGAGACACTACGACGTCGAATAGCCGAATTGGAAAGTCGACAACGGGCACCTGAGGATCCACCTCGGCGGGCCTCTACCTCGGCTCAAGTATATTTGGAAGCCGACTCTCCACTCACTCCGGAACTTACTTCGGAACCAGTCCCTGGAAAAGTCAAGGTTCCCCAAATCGGGCTGTATGATGGAACATCCGATCCGGATTCACACCTCGGTCATTACACCTCTTGGATGGACCTGCATGGAGCGTCGGATGCACTTCGGTGCCGCATGTTTTCATTAACCTTGGGGCCTCGAGCCCAGAAATGGTACCATTCTCTTCCCCCACACTCGATTTGGAAATGGCAACAATTGAGGCCGGCGTTCCGATCTCATTTCATTGGGGCCCAAGTATGTCTCATCCCGAAAGAGTCTCTTGCCAACATTACCCAAAAAGATGATGAAAGCGTGAAAGACTACATCGCCCGTTTCAACGACCGAGTTCAAAATATGGAACCCTGTCATCCAGAAACTTTGCTTGTCATGGCCATCGCGGGGTTAAAGCCAAACTCGATTTTCCGCTGGACGTTATGCCAAAACAAACCGAATACGTTTCAAGAATTTCTCGCCCGAGCCCAACAGCATATCATAGCGGAAGAAGCCATGTCGGTTCCCGACTTTAACTTTAACCAAAAAACCTCTAAGGTGGGAACCGACGAGAAGAGGAAGAATAAATATTTCGACAAACAAAGCAAGACTCAATTCAGGGGACCTCCCCGGGGAGACCCCAACGATCCCGAAGTCCGAGCAGCTCGAAAGCAATACGCGACCGACGTAAAGTCCGGATATCAAACCGTGTACTCGGCGGGAGCAGCTGTTATTTACGAAGAAATCAAAGGGAAGGGCATTTTGCCAGATCCCAAGCCACTTCGGGCGCCTGAAGAAAAACTGGACAAATCCCGATATTGCGACTATCACAAGTCACCCGGGCATAACACGGATGAATGTTTGAGTTTGTTGGCCGCTTTGTTGCGCTTAATCGGCCATCCACAGCTTAGGAAATTTTATCGTAATGCTGATTCCCAGAGACGAGGTCCTGGACGACAGATAGAATCTTTTGATGACGAAGACGATGAGGAAGACCGAGGTGCAATGACGAAACGCATCCGACAAGGAGATAAAGAAGTATTCATGTTCACCTCGGAAACCTTCGGGTCTACCCTTGATAAAATTTCCCGAGGACGTAAGCGAGATAGATCTCCTGAACCAATGCAAATCACTGTCCATCGGGTCAATACCAACAACCCTCGGAGCACGTTATCCCGCCGACAAGTCAAGGCGTATGCCCGACAAGCCTACAACTCCGGTAAACAGGTTTACACCACTGATTTGAGAGATGTTCTCAATAATCGAAACTGCCCAATAACCTTCAATATGGAGGACGCAAACCACTTCGCCCATCCTCATTCTGACGCCTTGGTCATTACCGTTCCGATATGTGGCATCCCGGTTCATCGTGTCATGGTGGA